GTTCCTTTAGGTGCATTGTTAGATTGTTTATTTGAGATTTTTCTTGTTTGTTGAGATAGGCCTGTATTGCTATAACCTTCCCTCTTAGAACTGCTTTTGCTGTATCCCATAAATTCTGGCATGTCATATTTTCATTTTCATTTGTCTCCAGGTATTTTTTGATTTCTTCGTTGATTTGTTCGTTGACCCAGTCGTTGTTCAGTAGCATTTTGTTTAATCTCCACGTATTTGTGGCTTTTCTGATTTTCTTCCTATAGTTGATTTCTAGTTTCATACCATTGTGGTCAGAAAAGATGCTTGGTATTGTGAAATACATAATCTTTAAATTAAATTTTTGGGGCCAATATTTTGTTTCTCAGTAGCAAACCCTGGAACAAAAAAGTATCCTAATGAAAGTGCATGCTTTTGCAGGATGTAAGTACATTTGTTTATGTCATAAACACACAGTGTTTTGTGTGGCCAGGCACAATGCCTGATGCTGTTGTGAATAAAACAGTTTTTGACCTCATCTATGGGGGAAACAGATAATTGGACAAGCAATTAATAGTCATTGATAGAGTGGCCAGTGTGCTTTGAGAGTAAAAGGAGGAGCTGTGGATAGTGAAGCCAGATCAGCAGGTGTAGACTGGGACTGTCTGCAGAGGGTGCATTTAGTCACAGGTGGGAGAGCCAGCCCCATTGAGGAACCTTGGTCAGGGGTGGCTTCCTGAAGGAGGTCAGTTGTTTGTCCCTCAGTGATGGGGTGGGGAGAACGTGTGAAGACCCAGCTGGGGGAGAATATGGAGAGTGTGAGAGGCCTGAGGGACAAGAGGTAAGGCAGGGGAGGAAGCAGGGGCCAGGTTATGAAAGACTTGTAGTTCGTGCTCAGACGTTTAGTTTGTATCCTCAAGGCAGTGGAGGCCGATATGATCAGAACTGCATTTTAGAAAGGCCATCTGGCTACAGCATGTGAAGAAAATGGAGTAATAGATTTGAGGAGGCCCGTTAGGAGGTTATCATAGTAATCTAGAGAAAGATGACATTGATGGCCTGAAGTAGTAAATGGTGTTTTTAAGAGCTGTTCAGAAAGTAGAGCTGAAAGGACTTGGTGCTAATCATAGTCAGTTGATAAATTGTTAAGTGTCTGCTATGTTTTGGTACTACGCAGGGAGCTAGAAAATACCAGTGAGCAAAACACATTGGTTCCTGCCCTTTGGGGGCCATAGGCCAGAGGGGAAGGTGTCTGAGAGGACCGGAGGAGGGAAACCTGACCAAGTCTGGATGAGTCTTCTGGAGGAAGTGATTTTTAAGGAATTAGCCTGAGATAAGCCCAGTGGATGGAGAGAGCAAGATGCTTTCAAGGAACTGAAATAGTCTAGTATTCTGGTGGGTTGCATGAGGCTAGGAGAATGGTGTGATTTGAAGCTGGTGAGGTGGATAAAGGCCAGCTCACACAGGGCTCTTTATGCTGTGTTAGGGATTTTGGACGTTAGTGGGGGTCATTGAAAGGGTTTATGTAAGGATTAGATATGTGTTTTTAGAAGGTGGAGAGAGGATTCGAATGGACAGGAGAGGAAATGGAAGACCAATAAGGAGGTTATTACAGTCATCCAGATGCAAGATGACCAGGACTAAGACCAGGGTGCAGACAGCAGAAATGGGGAGAACTGGAGTGGATTCGATATTGGCTGGGAGGATAAGGAAGAGAAACAAATCAAAGATGATGCCCAGGTTTCTGCCTTGGGAAACTGGAATCTTTACCATTTTTTGAGCTTTACCATTTGTTGAACATAAGAAGAGGAAGTAGGTTTTGTGAAAATGATGGCTTCAGTTGTGGGCATGTTGAGTTTCCGGTGACTCTGAGATATGCAGGTAAAGATGGTTAAAGACCAGTTGAGGTATGATACGGTTCTGAAGGACAGGAGGGAGGTCCAGGCAGGAGATAGGAATTCAGCAGTCATTGGCATATATGCAAGTGAAGCTAGGACAGCGTGTAAGGTGCCTAGGAGAGCTTGCAGAATGTGAAAGAAGGGGCTCAGGGTGAAACCATTAGAAATTCCAACATTTGAGGGGTGGGTACAGGAAGAGGACCCCTGCAAGAAGGATAAGGATAACAATAAGAGAGTATAGCAAGAGAAGTAGAAGAAAGGATGGGTTAATAAATACACTGAGAATGCACTTGTTGTTATATTGAATTTGGATTTTATTTGAAATAATTTGAAACTATCAAAAAGTTTCATTTATGTAGTCACATAGAAATTACCTAAACTCTATTTTCTTTGGCTTGTACGTTTTCACAGTTCTAATTGTATTAAAGCATATTTACTTTTTATTTTGCTTTTAGGTTGCATTAAACATTGATCAAGATTTATAGGATCAACCAACCTAAGAGCAATAAATTTTTCTTCTTGTTTCAAGTTTCAAAATATGAGGTTCCCAACTGTTATTTTTTCTTCCAAAGCTGAACTCTACTTTTTTTTTCTCTGAAGACAGATTTATAAATGGGCTTCAAGGGTGGCTTAAATGGGCTTAAAATAGCCCATTTTGTTTTGGATTCCCCAATGCAACTGGTTGTTTGTATGATTCTATTGAGAGAACAGGAGAGAGAGTTTCCCAAAGCAACCAAAAAGCGCAAATGGGAGATGTGCTGAAAAGAATGTGTGTATCTCGGTGAGAAAAAGATTGCCTGACATGCAATTTACTGGTCTGTGAGAAGTGAAGGAGGCCACCACTGTGGAGGGCTCAGGAATATTCAACATGCTTTAGATATGGCATTTCGTCCTGGGAGTGAACTGCAAAACTTTCCCCAGTTTGCTGGGAAGTGCTTATAATCCGTGCTTATTGATGGGACTGGAATGGGGAAGGATACAAAGTTCTGGGTATGGAAAGGCATCATTTCTTCTGGGACAACCAGTGGGCAAGAGTACTGGGCTACTGTTGAAGGGAAGATCTCCCCTGGAAGTAGGCCATGCAGGTGCTTCCTGATTGCACTCTTGGCCCCTTGGAAATTTCAGCTCTAGCCTTGAACTTTAGGGAGTACTTTGCTTCCTTTATAAAATTCTTCCAAATCTCAATCTATGTTGTGAATCCTTTCTGTTCCTTAAGGAAGGGTATAGGCATGGAAACATAAATGCCAGGAAGAGGCTCCTTTTTTAAAAAAAAAAAATTATGGTTTTGGTTATAACACCTTTCCTGAGGCAATGAGAACAGAACAGCCTAGTGACTTAAATGGGAAGAGAAAAAGGGAAAAAATAATGGGAAAAATATTGGTTTCATTAAAAAGAAATGTTATCTTGTCATATCAGAGTTTTGTACATTTTTGAGTAAAAAGTCCTAGGTGTCTTGGAACCATGACTTGTGTGTCAGGCAGGTGACTAGGCACTGTGCCCCCAGCATGGATGACCTGCATTCACACCACCCAGGCAGGAGTGTCTAAGGGAGCAAGAGAGCATAGTGTCCTTCTGGGCCTTGGCATCAGCCTATGCAGGCACCGTCATGGAGGGCTGGGGCCTTAGGGCAGGCCCAGAGGGATCTTGGGCTCAGCACAGCCCGTGCAACTCTCCAAAGGGTGCAGTCTGCTGCTGGGATTTGACAGCAAGAGTCTTCGACTGTTGGCTCATCACGAGGTGAAGCGTTGGGTTCTGGGGCAGGGGTAGTCTTGTTTGAAGAGCTCCAAGTCAGAGCTGGGCATAAGAGGTAAGAGGTAGAATGGGGTAAAAGAGGAGATGAAATAGGTTCAATCTCTTGGTAGAGAGCCTCATGAAGATTCAGCAGGTGATCCGGGAGCAGGCAAATGGGCTGATGTATGGGAAGAGGCTCCTGTGCCCACAGGGAGATGACTCATGGGTAGAGCAGATGCCCACTGCCCCTGGGGGCCTGAGGCAAGGCTGTAGTCTGCCGACAGATGGCTACGCTGCCTCTGTATCTAGGTCTTAGAGTTGCCAATGGCAGTAAGATTTATTTTAGACCCACCCCATGATAGGGGTAGGGATGGCTCCTGTTCTGGCATCCTGGGGTTGGTTGAAGCGGTCTAGATTTTCTTGCTGATCTGGTCTCTTGGTAAGCAAGGATAACAGAAGAGGAGGAGGAAATGGATGAAAGAATAGGGAGATATAAAGGATCTAAACATAGATGATTAAACTAGATTTTCTCACTGCAGAAGGTGAGATATACATATGTGGAAGATAAAAAAACAAAGACATGGATAAGGAGAACAGATTAGTGGGTACCAGAGGGGAAGGGGGTGGGGAGTAGGTAAAGGGGCACATACGTATGGTGACAGATGGAAACTAGAATGTTGGTGGTGAACACAATGTGGTCTATACAGAAGCTGAAATATAATAATGTACACCTGAAATTTATACAATGTTATAAACCAATGTGACCTCAATAAAATAATTAAAAAAAAAGATGAGATATAACAGATCATCAAAATACAGGTGCACTAAATACACCTTTTGGCTGAATCTCAAATCACTGAGTGTTAATCTTACTATTCAGCCAGTCAAGGCTGAAGATATATATTAATTTCTGAGATACAGCAATAAAGAAAACTACACTTTTATTAAAATTTTAGTAGTTCAATGTTATAGTGCTGGTGCAGTAATTTCTCAACATTTTTAACTGCAATGTGACTTTTGTGGTCACTGTGCCACACATTTGTGATACTGTGTAAATGTTTATTTTCAAATAAACAAATGGGACTACATCAAATTGAAAAGCTTCTGCACAGCAAAGGAAACCATCAACAAAACAAAAAGACAACCTAACAATTGGGAGAAGATAATTGCAAACCATGTGTCTGATGAGTTAATCTCCAAAATGTATAAAGAACTCATACAACTCAACAACAGAAAAACTACAACCCAATTAAAAAATGGGCAAAAGACATGAACAGACATTTCTCCAGAGAAGATATACAGATGGCCAATAGGCACATGAAAAGATGTTCAATATTATTAACTATCAGGGAAATGCAAATCAAAACTACAATGAGATATCGCTTCACTCCCATCAGAATGACTATAATGAACAAGACAGGAAACAGTAAGTGTTGGAGAGGATGTGGAGAGAAGCAAACTCTCATACACTGCTGGTGGGAGTGCAAACTGGTGCAGCCACTATGGAAAACAGTATGGAGATTCCTCAAAAAATTAAGAATGGAACTACCATACAATCCAGCTATTCCACTGCTAGGTATTTATCCAAAGAACATGAAAACATCAATGCGTAAAGATACGTACACCCCTGTGTTCATTGCAGCATTATTCACAATAGCCAAGACTTGGAAGCAACCTAAGTGCCTATCAAGGGCTGAATGGATGAAGAAGATGTGGTATATATATACACAATGGAATACTGCTCAGCCATAAGAAGCGATGAAATCCAGCCATTTGTGACAACGTGGATGAACATTGAAGGTATTATGTTAAGTGAAATAAGTCGGAGGGAGAAAGTCAAATACCATATGATCTCACTCAGAAGTAGAAGATAAAAACAACAAAAAACAAACACATAGAGACAGACATTGGATTGGTGGTTACCAGAGGGGAAGTGGGGAGGGAGGAGGGTGAAAGGGATGATTAGGCACATGTGTGTGGTGATGGATTGTAATTAGTGTTTGGGTGGTGAACATGATGTCATTTATACAGAAATACAAGTACAATGATGTACACCAGAAATTTATACAATGTTATAAACCAATGTTACCATAATAAAAAATAAAATAAAAATATAAAAACCAAAAAAGAGTTTCTTTTCAGCTAAAATAGAGGAAGAAGATATTTTTGAGTACCTTATTTTTCTCTAATATGTTTTTTTCTTGAGACTCTGTATTTGTTTTTAATAGTTTTTGAGTACCTAATTTTTCTCTAATCCCCTTTTCTTTAGATGATATATTCTTTATTTTGTTTGTATTGAAGGTGACTTATCTTGGATATAGCCATATATGATTTTTTGGGGGTAACAGCTTTATTGAGATATAGTTTACGTGACTAATTCACCCATTTAAAGTTTACAGTTCATTGGTTTTTGGTACATTCAGAGAGTTGTACAACTATCACCACAATCAATTTTAGAACATTTTCATCACCCCAAGAAAAAACTCTGTACCCTTTAGCTGTCACCCCCCCCACCCTCCTTTCCCCTAAATCCTAGGCAACCACTAATCTAGTTTTTCTGTAGTACATCAGAAGGCATGATGTCTGACCCAGACTTCTCAGCCTCCAGAACTGTGAGAAATAAATGTTTGTTGTTTAAACTACCCAGTCTATGATATTTTTGTTACAGAAGCTTGAATGGACTAAGGCAATGCATTTGCAGCTATAAAGTTTCCTCTGAGCACTGCTTTCATTGCATATTATTAGTTTTGGTATACTATGTTTTCATTTCCATTTATCCAATGTATTTTCTAATTCCCCTATTTCTTCTTTGACCCATTGGTTATTTGCAAATGTGTTATTTAATTTCCTTATATTTGTAAATTTCCCGAATTTCCTTCTGTTACTGATTTCTAGTTTCCTTCTGTTATAATGTGCTTTGCATTATCTCAGTAAATTTAAAATTTATCGAGAGTTGTTGTATGGCCTAGCATATGGTCTCTTCTAGAGTATGTTCCATGTGCACTTGAGAAGAATCTGTGTTCTGCTGTTGTTGGGTGCAATGTTCTATGGATTTGTAGGTCTAGTGTTATTCAAGTCCTCTATTTTCTTTGTGATTCTCTGTCTAGTTCTATCTATTATTGAAAATAAAATAGAAGTTTCCAACTCTTGTTGTCTTATTGTCTATTTCTCACTTTAATTCTGTCTGTTTTTGCTTCATAAGTTTTTGGATCTCTATTGTTAAGTGCACATGTTTATAATTGTTATGTTTTCTTGATGGATTGATCCTTTTATCATTATAAAATGTTCTTCTTTGTCTCTAATAATTTTTGTCTTAAAGTCTATTTTCTCTGACTTTAATACAACTAATATAGCTCTATTTTGATTATTCGTTTCATGATATACCTTTCTCCATCCTTTTACTTTCAGCCTACTTGTGTCTTTGGATGCAAAGTGTAAACTTGTGGATCATAGTTTGTCATTCATTCTACCAATCTATAACTTTTGATTTGATATTTAATCCATTTATATTTAATATAATTACTAAGTTAGGATTTACATCTGCTGTTTTGTTATTTTTTCTATATGTCTTATGTCTTTTTGTTCCTTTATTCCTCCATCAGAGTCTCCTTTTGTGTTAAATAAATATTATACTGTACTGTTTTAATTCTGTTGTTTCTTTTATTATTTTTCTTTGTTATTTTATTAGAGATTACAAGTAATATTAATTTTTTATTGAGGTATAATTCACATATAACATTATATTAGTTTCAGGTATACAACATAATGATTCAATATTTTTATATATTGCAAAATGATCACCACAA